CACAGTTGAAAGTGTTGTAGGTGAATTGCAGGTGTGTGGAAGATAATTGCAAAAGCTGATGTGACACAATTGAAAGTGTAAATGGATTGCAGGGATGTAGATGGTCTAAGTTGTATGAAGATTTGTCCTTCACCTCAAAGGGTCGAAAAGTGATTTTGCAAAAAGGCCCCTTAAGGCAAGAAGAATAGAAACTAGTAAATAGTAAACAACTGAAACATAAAAAAAGTATCAATATGTTTCGAATGATTTTTCATAGTTACTGAAGCCCAATAAATTGATTTCAGATTGTCGAAGATGGTACGAGTTCTCTGAAAACCGGCAACTCGTTACTATTTTTCTGCTCTGAATTACAGCGGGAAGTTTGAAAATGTTGGTGCTGTGATGAGTGTGGATGAGACTCTCTTATGTGCTCGTTCCAAATTCTAAAACCCACGGAAAAGAAACCAAAGTTCAATTTCGGTATCAATTTCTTTGGGAGCACAACTATAGCTAAACCGGGAAACATTCCACCAGGAGTCGAGGTACGTCGACAACATTAGCAAAATGCTCGAAACCACCTTTGTAATTTGTACGGTTTCAGAAAAAGAAAAAATAAAAATCCGAAGCCATGTTGATTGAACCCATTAGCTTTAAATTGGCCTCATGTTTTTGTGATTCGAATCCATGACCATAGACGTTACCTGATGCTTCAAGGCCCAGGGCAATAATGCCTTATAAATAGTTCGTGTCCATATTTATGTTTTAGTTTGTCCAAAAATAAGTATCGACCTTTTAAAGAAAGTGTTTGATTTCAAATTTTACCCTTGATTATAAGATTGAAAAATTCATTACTCTCTTCTATTAAGGGTAAAATAGTCATTTAGTTAGTTAAAAAGTATAATAATTACAAATTTCTAAAACTGTGTGCATTTTTCATCGTGAACATTTATTTTGAAACAAAGGAAGGAGGTTGTATTTATAGCGAGGACATGCCTGTATACATCTTCCCATACCCTACTTGCGAGTAAGATATATTGCGTTCGTTTGTTGATTTAATTATTTAAATACTTATTATTATTAGCCTCGAACGTTGGTCTTTATTTGCTTATGTTTTGCAGCCTATTCTGGGAGCTAGAGTATGAGATTTGGAGCACGAAGGGGATCTCGCGATTGAAGGGTAAAATTCAGGGGAATAACTTTTAACTTTTCGATAGATAAAAGTTGGGTGGAAGTAAGATAAAAAAACGTTTCTAATTGTTGTTTATCATTGTACCCTAGTTATACATAATATATAATACCCTGGTTCTTAGTTAACCTTATAACTAAAAACGTATTGACACATTCCTTGATAATTTTGGGGACAAATAAAACAGACTTGGCGTATTTTGGTTTGTTAATGTGTACATACATCCAATGAATTTTATACTAAATTTTTTCATGTGATAACCAGATCTTGGTTGTCACCTGAGGTAATAAATATGTGATTATTTGTTATATGTGATTACGTGACAACATGATAAATTGATACATTTGATCATGTTAGGGTGTGAAAATGTGCAAAATGTAGACGCATGTACAGGGCGCACCTGTATGGGAGCAACTGGTGGCACGTGCCACCGTATTATTTCGCCTCCGAAGGGTAAAAATTTTAGGTTTCTCAACGGTGCTACCGTATTATTTTGGAAGGTGCTACCGTATTATTTTGAAAGGTGTTACCATATTCAAACATAGCAATTAAAATTTAAAACCCAAACAAAATAAAGCCCAATTGTCTAACTTAATAAAATGCAAAGTCCAATTAATTTATTAACATTAATAAAATGCAAAGCCCAATTATATGATTAAGCCCAAATCAAATATACAAACTATTACCTCCTCCATTCCTCCTCTTGAGCTTTTCTTATGATTAACAGATTAAGCCCAACTTCTTGGGCAGCCGTGCAGGTGACCTGCCAGACAGAAGAGACGAGAGTGAGTGAACGAGCTTACGACTTACGAGCGTGAACGAACGAGCGAGTGAGCGACCAGCGAGGCAGCGACCGACAGGCGACAAACAGGGAGGGCCACCACCAAGAAGAATCGATTCGATTTTGGAACGATTTTGAAGACTCGGACGATTCACGATTCAGAAATCAGAATCGAAACTCACTCAAACTCGGACGATTGACGATTCAGAAATCAGAATCGATTCGATTAGGTATTTAGGTTTAGCCTTTAGGTATACATTTTTAGTTTTAGTTGATTATTTACTTGATTAGGTTTAGCCGATTAGGTATACATTTTAGTGTTTTACTCTTGAATAAGAATTCTTGATGAAATTGATTGAGGCATTGAGGCTTCTTCACTGCTTCAGGCTTGAGCTGTTGTCTGTTGAGCATTTGATAATTTTGATTTGAGGCTGGAGCATTTGATTTGAGGCTTGAGCATTTGATTTGATTTGAGGCATTGAGGTTTCACTAGTTCACTGCTTCAAGCCTTCACTGCTTCACTGCTTTAGTTTTCAATTTTCATAATTCATATGTTGATTAAATTTACTAATTGTCTCAATCACTCAATGTCATTACTGATTACTTATCATTGTTTTCATTACTTAGATCTACGATTCTCATTCATTATGGAAAAATATTTGAAGCGAAAAGCTTCATCATCAACCGATAATAA